GTCCTTGGTTGATCCTTGGCTGGTCCTTGGTTGATCCTTGGCTGGTCCTTGGTAGGTCATTGGCTGGTCCCCCACAATTTCTTTTTAAGCATCAGTCTTTGTTCTAAAATATTCTTTCCGTCATGATTTGTGGACATTAAGATCTAAAGAGAAGCGCCATCTCCTGGTCAGACCCTGTAATTCAGTGAAGGGGAGTCTGCTGGCATTCAGTTGCCGTTTGACTGGGAAGGCCATTTTGAATGGCTGCTACTGTGGAGCTTGTGTTGCCATATGAGGCTTAAAGAAGACAGATCAGTTTTTTGGTCCAATCTGGCTCTTTGAACAGTCTGGGTTGCTGACCCCTGATCTACCATGTTAACGCTGCCCTGAACATTTAGCCATAAACCAAATGAAGACAGAGGACGCTCAGGCGTCAGAGGACAGCAGGGACAATCAGGTTTACTTTCAAAGTAAAATGTTTTTCTCGTACGCCGATCAAAACTAGCCAAGTGTAAATGATTAGAGACAGGTAGCCGCTTACAGTATGAGAATATTATCTGAAAATAAGGCCCGTTTGCTGGAGGCTTCAGCTAACGGCAGCTGGAAGAACATCTAACTTTTCATGAGCTTTGAAACAAACAGCAAAGCTTTGGAAACATTACGTTGAGCTGCCCAGGATGAAGTTTTCCTGCTTCAGCTGACTTTCCAGGCCTGGTGAGGGCATGGAGAAACGTCTGGAGGCCTCCTGTCGACAAACACCAAGAAACATTTTGGTCACAGCGTTTCATTCAGCAGATCAAATGCACTGAAAAAAAAAACTTAATCTAGAAAAAGTTATTTTTTTCTTAAAATAAGAGCATTTGTTCTTGAATGAGACATTTTGCCAATAGAACAAGACAATTTACATTTAAAATAAGAAAGAGCAATTGCATTGTCTTATTTCAAATCTTATTTTAAGAGTAAAAATACTCATTTCATTGTCAAATCATCTCATTTACCTACTCAAATTAAGTAAATGCACTTAATTTGAGAAATTTTTACTTATTTCCAGATCGTTTTTCCAGTGTGGAAGATTCTGGTCTAGAACTGAGCAAGGGAAGATTTTTGGCAGAGAAATCAGATCAATTTAAAGGACAGGAAATGAGAAAAGCTGCATTATGTTTCACTGAAACATGGCTGCAGGCTAATACCTCAGACTACATCCTCTTTCAGTTTCCCGTCAAACAAGAATAATAATAATAATTGAAACTTAAAGAGGGCTGCTCAGTGGAGCAGTGGGTAGCACTGCTGCCTTGCAGCAAGAAGGTTCCGGATTCTATTCCCGGCCGGGGGTCTTTCTGCATGGAGTTTGCATGTTCTCCCTGAGCATACGTGGGTTCTCTCTGGGTACTCCAGCTTCCTCCCACAGTCCATAAACACGACTGTTAGGTTAATTGGCTTCTCTAAATTCCCCTTAAGTGTGTGTGTGCTTAATCCCAAGCAAGCACCCCTCGATTAAGGGGTGCTCGCCATGCCAGGGGGGTGTGGGGTCATGGGATCAGAAGGAAAACTCTTCTATACTCAGATTCCACCCGCTGGTTTTCTCTTTCATTTCATTAAGATCAAATGTTTTTTTTTGTCATCTTTATGGAAGCATTCAATGTGACGATACACCTTTAAAAACAGAAATCTGACCAAAGAGCTCATGCAGAGGTCAAAACTTCCTCTTCTTAACATCTCCAATGTTAGAACATAATTAACAACAGAAATAAAAAGTCAACTTGAATCAGTTAAATTAAAAATGGTCTAACTCTCCAAGCTTCAGTCTTACCTTGAGGATCTCCTGGAGTTGCTTTAGCACGGCGTGCACCTCCTCTCTTAGCAGCCAGTTAAACTCCTCCTCCTGACAGAAGGAAGACAAACCCAGTCAGTATCTCAATGCTCCATCCATACATACAGCTGCATGGTGCTCACAGAGCCTTGCACTGATCCATCAACTATTGCAGCATTGAAAAAATTCAATTACAGTTAACCCTCTATAACGCCGTTCACTTTTCACCGTCTCGCTGCTTCACGGATTTGCATCATGCATTGTTAAACTTTATTGTCAAACATATTAATGGTGGCATGTCGGTTAATAAGGATCTTTTGGCCCGGAAGAAAAAATCCCCACAATATTAACCCTTCAGTTCATATTGATGATTAAAATTATTATTTATTTATAAGTATATTATTTTACAGTACAGAACAGTGGTTTTTGTAAAAAACAACAACAACCGTTTATCCAGTACTTTTATTTGTTAAAGAAATGCTTGGGCCTGTAAAACGTTTTTGTTCCTTGATTTCAAAGTTTTATGGAGTATTTCATTGTATAATAACTGTAAAAAAATAAAGGTTTCTACTTCACGGATTTCGCCTATCGTGGGTTCTTGTTGGAACGTAACTCCTGCGATAAACGAGGGTTCACTGTATTCACATTTTAAGCTCAGGGGACATGAACAAGAAACGAGAGGAGGAGGTAGACGCTTTCCTAAGACCCGCCCCCTTCTTCTTCTGATTGGCTAGTACTGCTAGTTGCCTTGTCTGGACACTGGCTTGGACTGGGAACCATTTTCGGCCCTGGTATTTTTCCATCTACACCAGTCCACTTATGGACCCGAACCCCTGAAAAAAATAGAAGCAGTCAAACGCGTGCGTCTCAAATGTGAAACAGATACGAATACACAGTGTGGATTGAGCGGTTTATATTCAAGCATCACATGACAACCATCACCAAGACTTCTATAACGCGGTTTTTCTGGCTTTGGTTATTAACATGGACGCCACAGTGACTGCTGCTGCGTAACGTGAGCGCCACTCACCACAGCAGCAGGGTTGCCAGATGACTCACGTTTTCCAGCCCAAAATATGTTCATAAACCGCCTGGATATATGAAATCTCACCCAATTTGAACAAAAGTCTATTGATCCATAGAGCCCACAGACGGCCGTCCTAAACTGCCAGATTGGGAAACATCCCAACCTGGCAACAATGCACCTAAGACAGGAAACGTTAGCCTTTAATTCCAAAACGCCATCATGCACCGCAACATATTTTTGCAAAATATTCAAACATAAATTCGCCAAATATAAGAGGAACATGGTAGTTTGGTTTAGAGAAAGCATTTTAGTTTTATTATAATTTAGTTTGTTGCAAAGATTTTATTGTTTGAAGAAATGGAAAATGACACCATATGCCCCAGACATCCACGGTTATATTTTTGATATTTATATCTTTTAAAACAAAGCGGCGTGTGTATGACGTCATACACATGCCGCTTTGTTTTAAAAAACATAAATATAAAAATATATAACGGCGGATGTCTGGGGGACAGTAATTGGCCTACATGTTCTGAATGCTGGCGTACCATAAAGAATAAATTATGAACAGTTTAGTTTGTGCCTTCAAGTCGTTGCCCATAGGAAGACGTTACTGGATATAACCTAACGGAATATCTTCAGAACGGCTCCAAATGACACTAAACTCATATGGGTGAGTAGAACATGATGGAATAACGGAAAATCAAGGGACCAATGGGGAAAAAAAAGCGGCGTCCCTGGAGTTATTTACTGTCACAGGTAGGAGCTTCAGCCCCCTCTAGTTGAAAATCCTGGATCCGCCCCTGGAAGCGGTTCTTTGTTGTGGTATTTCTGCAGGAGGTTCCATTGATGTCATTCTAGGAACATAGAACAGAATAAACCTATGCACCGATGTAGATCTAAGCTACATAGATCCTGTTCAGCTTTAAAGCAGCAGTTTTCTATGGTGTTGGTCCCTCTGGTCGCGGACCTTCCGGCCTCCATGTCTGATGCTCTGCCGCTGATGGGGCCCCTCGATTGGCCCCGGTCCCCCCCCCTCCTCTAACACCACTCTGCCATTTAATCTGGACTGGATTTAGAAAATAAAAGGAGCCGATAATAGGCGACATATTATGGGGCTGGTGGGGGTGGGACAGCTAGCTGTCCCCGGCAGGTAGTCCCTTACCAGGACGGCTGTCTCCACCTGGCTGGCCGCGGACATCCTGGGCAGCTCGGACAGGGACCTCTGCGGGTGCAGCATGCTCTCTGCTCTGCAGGCCGATGCTGGACTCGGTGTTCAGCCGCTCTAACAGATGGAGCTGTTATTGCAGCTCACTAGCTTAGCGAAGGAGGAGGAGGAGGTGCGTTCAGGACGGTCGGAAATTAAGATTACCGATTAGTGGACAAAAAAATGTACCATT